AACAAACAAACAAACAAAAAAACCCAAAACATTTTGTCATCAGAACTAAGAAAAATTACTTGTCTACAACAGTGTGAGAAAAAGCTGCTTTTATGTGAACTTCTGCAGACTGTGAATTTCTGAGCCCCTCCCCTGACATGCTGGGTATAAAACTCTGAAACTCCCTGAACTCGGGGTTCAGGGGATTGATTGATTACAGCAAAGGCTGTGCCCTCTGAACCTGGCTGCAGCCACATAAAACTGTTTCCTGCTGTCTTTGGTGCCTTGCCTCGTTTGTCCCTACAACAGCTTCATCCAACATTATAGATGAATCCAAGTTGACTTCTCCCTCACCGTAAATTAACTGTTATTAATGGGTTGGTTTGTTTCTTCCAGACTTTTAATAATACCCACATAGAGTATTGTTTTCTCATTAGTGTCAGGATATCATCTGTAATTTTCTATAATTTGTTTTATTTACTGATGATTTACAGACTTCACATCAGTACTTGTCTTATCCCACTGTTGCTAATAACACAATACCAGTGATTGGGTAAATCATAAGGAAAAGAGATTCATTTTGATTCAAAGTTCTGAATCAAGGATAAGAAGCCTCATCTGGTGAAGGTCTTCTTGTTGGCAGAGTTCCCGGGTATGGCACAGTGAGAAACAGGGAGAGCATGTGCCAATCTGTTCTCTCTCCCTCTTCTTAATAAGCTACTGTACGCATTCAGCAATGAGGGTCTCACCCTGCTGACTTCATCTAACGCTAATTGTTTTTCAAAGGTCTCACTTCTGAACACCCTTGTAATATTTTTTTTCAATTTTATTTTTTTAGTTGTTGATGGAACTTTATTTTATTTATTTATTTTTATGAGGCACTGAGAATTGAACCCAGTGCCTCACCCATGGTAGGCAAGCGCTCCACCACTGAGCCACAACCCCAGCTCCAGCTCTGTCCTCATTATTGGATAAGCATTGGGGACAAGGACCAAGCTTTTGGTATCACTGTCGGGATTGAACTCAGGGCCTTGTTCAGCTAGGCAAGCACTCTACTACTGAGACACATCCCCAGCCCAGCCCTTTATATTTTTATTTTATTTTATTTTTTTGCTTTTTTGAGACAGGGTCTCAAAAATATCTTACATGAGTTTGGAGAGAGTTTTGGAGAGAACAAGCCATATTCAAACCATAGTGATATTTATAGAACTACTTCTTTTTAAAATTAATGTTATTAGTATCTTATTTTCTTTTTTTGTGGCACTGGGGATTGATCCCAGTGTTCTCTGCTAGGGTAATGCTCTACTACTGATCTCTACCAGAGCCACGTCCCCAGCCCTATTTTGTATTTTATTTAGAGACAGGGTCTCACTGAGTTGCTTAGCACCTCACGATTGCTGAGATTGGCTTTGAACTTGAGATCCTCTTGCCTCAGCCTCCCAAGCTGCTGGGATTACAGGCGTGTCCCACCAGCCCTTTTCATTTTTGAAAATATTGACACCATAGTGATATTTATATAACTCCTATGGTTTGAGTTTTGCTTATTTGCCCAGGCTGGCCCTGAACTTGGGATCCTCCTTTCTCAGCCTCTAGAGTTACTGGGGTCACAGCCATGTGCCACCATACTCTGCTATATACTCCATTTTATAAATGGCTCCAGAGTATTCCCTAGAACAGCCATTCCATAGTTTATTCAACAGTTCTCTTATTAATGGTCATTTAGGTTGGCTCCACTTTTTCCCCTATTTAAAAAAATGTACTAAAGAGCACTGTCCATGTTTCTGTTAGAGTTTGCTTCTCGAGCATATTCCAGTTTTTATATTGTGAGTAAGCCTGTTCTGATTATAGAGCATTTTAAATCCTTATGTATTAATTCAAGTAGAGAGCAAAGAAGTTCCTCTGAAGTTAAATGACCATATTGATTAATATAATTAATATATATAATTATATATTAATATTTCATTTTTCAAAATATTAATATGGATTAAAATAGACCAATATTAGGGTTTGAATGCTAAATTCACATGCTTGAAACCAAATTATTTGTAAGTCAGAGCACTCCTCACATTCAGTATATATGGAGAGAATCACAGAATTTTTAAAAAACATTTATTGATTTGTTTTTAGTTAGAGGTGGACACAATACCTTTATTTTATTTTTATGTGGTGCTGAGGCTGGAATCCAGTGCCTCATGTATGCTAGGCAAGCATTCTACCTCTGAGCCACAACCCCAGCCTGGAATCACATATACTTTTATTTTTATTTATTCTTTTCAGTCTTGGGGATCAAACCCAGGGCCTCAAATATGCTAGGCATGTGCTCCACCACTGAGCCACACTCAATCCCACATAATTTTTAATTCCAGACTTATTAACTATTTGTTATTTCCCTTTTTAGTAAGCCCATATTTCTTCCTCAAATATACCTTGCCTTAACCAGTGTTTTATTCCAAGGATAGTCTTATTAGATTTTCCTATGTGTTTGTGGTTGATTAGGTAGCTAATTAATTTAGCAGGCAATTTGGGAACACCGAAAGCAGGCATTCATGTTTTGGGGCACTGGGAGATGCTGTCATCATCCTCATGGATTTTTTTCATGCTTTGGAGAGAATAGACCACCACCACAACAAATACAGAAGTAAATGAATGCTATATCAGATAGTTGATAAGTTCTTTGGAGGAAAAAAAAAGCAGGTTTAAGGGCTGGGGTTGTAGCTCAGTGATTGATAGAGCGCTTGCCTAGCATGTGTGAGGCACAAGGTTTGATTCTCAGCACTGCATATAAATACATAAATAAATATCCATTGATAACAACAACAAAAATAAATAAATAAATAAATAAAAGGGTATGGGGGCAGGGGTTGTGGCTCAGTGGTAGAGCACTTGCCTGATATGTGTGAGGCCCCTGGTTTGATCCTCATATAAATAAATAATTAAATTAAATTAAATTAAATAAACAAAATAAAGGTCCATTGACAACTAAAAAAAAGTATTTTTAAAAAAGCAGGGTATACGGGGTAAAAATGGGAGTTCATAACCCACTTGAATCAAATGTATGAAATATGTCAAGAACTATGTAATGTTTTGAACAACCAATAATAAAAATTTTTTAAAAAGCAAAAAAAAAAATTAAAAAAGCAGGGTAAGGGAACGGAGAATTTTGAATAGAGGATATAATTTTCAATAGAGTGGCAGTGGAACGCCTCATGGCCTCATGATAAAGCCTGGAAAGAGTTCAGGGAGCATAAACCGTGGAATACCGGGGGTGCGATGGAAAGCATTTTAGGCATAAAGAGAGACTACAGACTCAAGGCTCTGAGGCAAAATTGTGTTTGGCAATCTGCCCCCCAACACAAATGCTCTAATCCAGTAGTCAACAAATTAAGCGCTGTAGCTTTAAGAACCATGATACCTCTATCTTTATTTTTCAACTGGTGATAGCTCTGGAGAGCAACTGGTTTTCTCCTATCTGTGGAAGAATGCTGCAAACTCTCAAGCAATGAGATGAGTACAGGGGAGCAGCATCTCACCTCACCCAAGAGGTTTCCCAAGATCTCTTTCCTCCCCCTCTCAACCGCCACCCACCCACCCCCAAGCTTTTTTTTTTTTTTTTTCCTTAAAAAATTGGAGACCTTGCCTCCCTGGTCTCGAAATTGACATTCTCATGCCTCAGAGTTACTGGCATTGCAGGTGTGTGCCACCGCCCCTGGCTCTCTTGCATACTTAAAACCATAGATCTTCTAATATTTAACACAACGTAAAGGCTTATATGAATAGTTGTCACGCTGCATTGCTTAGGGAACAATGACACTTAGGAAATCACGACAAGAAAAATGTCTGTAGCACTCAGTACAGGACATTTCCCCTGTCCCCCAGATATTTTCTATCCTCGGTGGGTAGAATCCTTAGACGTGGAACCCACAGAGAAGAAGGCTGATTGCACTCTTTAGACCTGGGGTGCCCCACCTAGCAGCCGCGAGCACTTGAAATGTGGCTGGTACAAACTGGATGTGCTTGAAACACACACTAGATTTCAAAGACTTCGTGCAAAATTGGAAAATATCTCACTAACAATTTTACAGTATTGCTTACATGGCGAAATGATATTCAGGCTAGGTTGGGTTGACGAAGCTGTCTCACTAAAATTAATTTCGCCTTTTTTTCCTCTATTCGATTTTTAAAAAATGCAGGTTTTATATGATAAATTATTGTGTAATGGTGTATTAAGAATTGTAATGCAAAATAAATAAATTTTAAAAACTAAAATGCAAACTAAAAAAAAAATGCAGGTTTTATGAAATTTCTAATTCGGTACGTGACTGGCATCCTGTTTCAACTGGACAGCTCTGAGGTTAGGTCTTCCCCTGGACTGCGGGCTCCTGGTTGGGAGGGACCCCAACTGCATCCTTGAAGCAGTGCCAAACAGGAGGCTCGCCGTTCAATCTAACGCCCCCGACACTGCAGCGGGAACACGGGCTACGAAGGCGGTAGGGTCCTGAGAGAAAGTCCCACAGGACGGGGTCCGGTTGCCAGGGCAGCACAGCACATCAGGGAAGCGCCCAGGGAGAGGGGAGCGCAGACTCAGAGTCCACGCCGCCGCCTCCCACCCCCCACCCGCCCGTGGCCCCGCCTCTTTGCGGCAGAGCTCAGGCCGGTGCAAACCGGTTCCGCACCCTGACGGACATCCAGCGCCACCCAATCCTCAGCACGCCCCCCGCCTCCGCAGTTCCGAGTGGAAGGCCCGGCAAGTCCAGTCGCCGGCATCCCGAGAGGCGGTCCTGAGCCAGATGGATGGTTTTGTCAGCCTATGATCATGGCCGGAGGTGCCGCGGGGGGGGCGCGGCAGCCAATGGCGTAGACGTGAGGATGGGCCTTTGTTTCCCCTCCACCGCCCCGTAGCTGCGGGCGCGGGAGGAGTCGGGACGGCGGGGGGCGGGGCTGCTGCCGGCCGGAGTCTGCGCACTAGGGCGGCGCCTGCCGGCTGGCTCGGGGTGACGTAATCTCCGCCCGCGAACCCGGAGAGCTCTGCGCCGAGGGGCCCGCGGCCGCCGCAGCTCGGGGGCGGCGCCTGCACCGCCGCCGCCTCCCCTCGGCGTTCGCGCAGCTCTGTCTTTGTCCGCCGGCGCCGCGGCCGCCCGCTTTGTTCCCCGGCGCCCTCGCCTCGGCCGACGGGGCGCGCAACCCAGCAGCTCCCGCCGCGCTGGCGTCGTCTTCGCCCCCCTCGCCGCCGGCCCCCGTGCGAGGCCGGGCCTTGCCCCCGATGGTCTCCCGGCCTGAGCCCGAGGGCGAGGCCATGGACGCCGAGCTCTCGGTGGCGCCGCCGGGCTGCTCGCACCTGGGCAGCTTCAAGGTGGACAACTGGAAACAGAACCTGCGGGCCATCTACCAGTGCTTCGTGTGGAGCGGCACCGCGGAGGCCCGCAAGCGCAAGGTGAGACCCCGCCAGCTCCGCGGCCTGGGCTGGCCCACGACACCCCCCTCTTTCTGCAGCGCGGGGCTGCACGCGGGGATTAGGGGTCTTGGGGCCCCCGATGGGGGTGGGGAGGGGAGGGCCTGCGACCTTCCCGCCGCCTCCTGGGGCTGCGTGCATTAGCGGGGGGGGAGGGGCAGGAGCGTTCTCATTCCCCATCCCCCCCCACCTCCCCCTCTGGTCTCAGAGGGTGGGGACGGGGGAGGGCGAATGCAAACTGGGAGGGGGGTTCTGCCACCGGGTTGCGAGGGCAGCTTGGGGCTGCAGGAGAGGGTTTCCAGGGTTCCAGGAATCTTCCAGGACTGGGAGGGGATGGGGGCGCCGGGGAAAGATAAGAGAGGAAGACCCCCGGGCCTGGGGTGATCTTCGGCGGTCACTCTGGCCAACCGTCTTGAAGGCTCCATGACATCCGAGAGTCCATTCGTGCAGGTCCGGGCTCGGATCCCAGTACTGGGACCAGGAGCCTGTGCCCGAGACCTGGGTGGTTAGGGTGTTCCTAGGGTACTGGAAAGGGTACCCCCCCCCCCCCCAGGGCCAGGGTCTACAGGGACAGACTGGGCGAGGGCGTCCCTTTTTTCCTCTGGTTCAGTTGTGGAATGGAAGGGGTTGGGGAGAGAAGGGCGGGCGGGGACGAGCCGAGGGAGCGAATCCTCTAGCTGTGGAGAGGCGCGTCGCCACGACCACTGAGGATTTGTGTTGTAGCTACGGAGAAGTGAATTGAAAAAAAAAATTTTTTTTTGGCTGATGGTAAAGGTGGGGCTTGGAGCCTCTGCAATGAGGAACCATTGAGGTAGTCACAGTGATACCATTGTTTTTTTTTTTTTTTTCTTCTTCTTCCAATTGTGTACATCCAAGCAATTAAGCGAATTAATATTTGGAAACCAGAAAATAATATTATTTCTTAAACTTTTTTTTTTAATAATTCAACGCAGTTTTGCAAATGACAACCCTAACTTGGGAGTCGTTATCAATTTCCACCTTGAATAGCACTTTGTAATGGGAAAACCAATAGATCTGCTGGGTTTGTATGGCCTTGTTAGGTGTTCTCTTTCTTTTTGTTTTTTTGATAGTAATGATGCTGGGCATAGTTATCGTTGAGAATGAACTAAGATTACATGAAACAGTTTTTTTTTTTTTTTTTTTACTGTCAGTGAGATTCTTGCTACTTATGGAATTATGACTCTTAAAACTAGCTGATAATCTTGTTGCAACTGTTTTGTTCGTTTCTGGATTAAGTCTTGATGTAAAATGCATTTCTACATGGGAATAAATAGTGAATCCTCTCCCTCTCCTTCCCCCCCCCCCTTTTTTTTTTTTTGGTACCAGGATTTGCTTTACCACTGAGCCACAACAGCTACAACCCCAGCCCTTTTTTTTTTTTTTTTTTTAACGTTTTGAGACAAGTTCTCCCTCAATTGCTTAGTGCCTCACTGAGTTGCTCAGGCTGGCTTTGAACTTGTGATCCTCCTGCTTCAGCTTCCTGAGCCTAGTTTTCTAAGATATGAAATTCTTATTTTTTGCAATGTGGCTTAGATTAGTATTTTTAATATCTAATTTTAGTTGCTTAGTTTGAAAGCTATTGAACCACATCTGTGTTCTCTAGTAAAGATTTAAGCTACAGACAGGTGATAAATATTTCTCTTGAAATTCAGGACTGTCAATTATTGCACTGCCATTTAGTAGTCTACCAACAATTAATCCTGAATCTATTTTTCTTTGATTGGGAGGGTGGGGAGTTATTTTCTTGTATTATTTCACATCCCATGTGACTATTTCTAACACTAAGTGGCCCAGTTTAGGAAAATTTAGTTTGAGAATCAATTTAACTATGGTGATTAACAGGGAATAACATACATTTTCCATGTTGTATAGGATTAAAATGTATTTGGTTTTAAGATATGAACTTTGACAATACTTCAGTGATCAYTGAGCTACGCCCTCAGCTTTCCCCCTGCCTCCCTCCTTCTCCCCCTCTTCTCTGTCTTAGACTAGCTCAGTTGTTGAGACTGGYCTCCAACTTGCAATCTTCCTGCCTCAGTCTCCCCAGTGTTTGGGATTATGGGTATGGGCCACTAGGGCAGGCCCTAAATTGTAGTTTTTTTGGGGGGTGGAGGGGTGCCAGGGATTGAATTCAGGGGCACTCAACCACTGAGYCACATCCCCAGCCTTGATTTGTATTTTTTTTAGAGACAGGGTCTCACTGAGTTGCTTAATGCCTTGCTTTTGCTGAGGCTGTCTTTGAACTCATGATCCTTGTGCCTCAGCCTCCTGAGTAAATGAAGGTGTCCTTTTGAGTTGCAATTTAACCATTGGAATGAATCCCTGGATGAATAGGAGTGACAAATTTTCTCATTTGAGGTGAGTCAGGTTATGAGTTTTGTATCCAAACTTTGCTCCTTCTTTAGATAAGGGAATGAGGGGAAACATGATCAGATTTATTAGATTTCTTCCCAATTAGGCTTGAATTGCAGTACAAATCTTGTACTGCTGAATGTAAAAATGTTCCCAGGGTTTGGAGTTCACTATTACCTGTCTCCTCTTTGCATTTCTGGTGTATGTTAAATGTAACAAATGTCTTACCACTTCAGGTAAGTGTAAACACAGCAACTGGCCATAAAAAGTCAGGAAGTGTAATAGTTCTACTGGTTATTGTGACTTAACATACTCTGCATTATATTTTGAGTATGTAGATATTTGGAAAACAGGGTTTTGTTTGTTTGTTTGTTTTTAAATAATCATTTCTCTTTTCTTTGCTCTTAAGTTTTATGGCAGCCTCTCCTTCGGGGAAAAGCTTTCAATGCACAGAATTTGGGTCCGAAATCAACTCTTCTGGTAAAAATGCTTAGGGAAAGTTTTTAGTTTGGGAAAGGGCTAGAGAGGAGGGAGAACTATCTGGGCAGGACCAGTTGAGGGCGAAGGGTGAATTCATGTGGTAAGGGAACACGTTCCCGCTTCTGTGTTTGGAGTCGTAAGAGCACTGTTGGAGGAATAAGACGCSGACACCCTTTGGAAGAAAGGGGCTGAGTCCTTTTTGGACTACCCATTTTCTCTTTAATTCTGAGTCAGCTGAAGTACTGACGGAGTTTGTGGACTCACCCCTGAGTTCGTGCCTTCAGGACTTGAAGTTGGAATTAGCACCCAAAACAGTAGGTGTGAAATAGCATACTAATTTTTGCCTTAAACTTGTTAATCAGTTTAAAGAAGGAATAATCTGCTGGGCTAGGCACACTGTAATCCTAGGGACTCAGCAGACTGAGGCAGGAGGATAACAAGTTCAAAGCCAGCCTCAGCAACTTAATGAGAGCCTGTCTCAAAAAATAAGCAGATCTGGGATTGTGGCTAAGTGGTTAAACTGCTGGATTCAAACCCTAGTACAACAAAAAGGAATGATCTAGGGCAAGGCCAAGACTGCATCTGAAAGTTCACTTCCATGTGTTGAACATCAGGGCGGAAGCCGGGATGGTTAAAAGGAGAGATAGAGAAACGCAGTGTAAAGCACTGAAGTGTAAGATAGTGAACAGGCATGGTGTCCTGGCTTCCCTTTTGTATCTTTACAGGTGACCATAGGAGTTTTCAGTTGGTGTACAATAAGAAGAGGAGCAGCTTGTGCAGTCGGTATTTGGGGGGTGGTGTAGGCCTTTGTTTGTGATAGGGAAAAGGAGGTCATTTTAGATGAAAAGTGATCTTGGGTTATTTGTCTTGAATTAGTGGTACCGTGCCATGTGTTTTAGAGAAGGATTTGTAGTCCACCCTCCTAATTTTCAAAGTCCACATTTAACCAGCCATAGATTGAAAATACTAGGAGAAAAAAGGTTGAGTCTGTACTGAACATGTACAGCCTCTTCCCATGTCATTATGCCCAACAGTAAAACAACTCCTTACATAGCATTTACATTCTGTTAGGTATTTTAAATAATCTAGAGGTGATGGGGAAAGATGTGTTTGGGTTCTGTACAGAACCTATCCCACTTTATGTAAGGGACTTTGATATCCTGGGAGTTTGGTATGGGGTGGTCGTAGAATAAGTTTCTGGAAGATAACTAGGAAGTACTTCAGGATGTGCAGTCTGGCACAGGGAAGGCTAAGGGCCAGCTCTGCCTGTTGGGCGCTGGGTTCCATCCCTAGTACTGCCCAAAACACGRCCCAACACCAGGGACCCGGAAGTCTGCCTGTGTCACTAGCTCTATTGATGACTAAACTAGTCTTCATTGGCTCAGAGTGGTGGTAAGAACACTGTTGAGAGCTCTCCCCTCTTTCATTAATTATTTTTATTTTAGCTCATGTTTCCATGTCTTTTTTTTTTTTTTTAGTGGACTTTTTCCCTTTTCAAACTTTTTTTTTTTTTTTTCTCTCTTTGAGGAATCAGCAGTTTGCTTTATCTTTCTTTTGGGGGGAGCTGATTTCTCAAATCATCACACTGTCCCTGATAGGTCGTTCCATTCAGAGAAAAAGGTTGAATGGGAATACTTTATTTTTTATTTTTTATTTTTTTTGGGGGGAATACTTTATTTTAAAGGGGATGGTTTGTCCCTGTTTCCCAGGCTGGTCTGGAAGCCTGGGCTCAGGCAGTCCTCCTTTCTCATCCCTCTGAGAGCTGAGACTAAAGGTGCACTCTACCGTTTCTGATTAAGTTTTAAAACTGTTTTTATATATAATTATTCAGTCATAATAATTATACATATTAGTGGATTTCATGTTGACAGTTTCACACATGCATACATTGTACTTTTTTAATTAAAGTTTTTATTTTGTGGTCAATGTAGATTGACAGGCTGGTATGAGAAGTAACAGTGGTCCTCTCTGCCTTCTCCACACCTCCCCCAGGGGTGTAACTATCAACAAGATTTTGACACTGCTGCACTTGCTCTTTGATACAGTTCACCYGTGTTTCTCAGTTTGCCTCAGTTTTGTTTTTGCTTGTTTGTATGAATAGTTAGTTCTGTGCAAATTAGTCAGCTTGT